TAAAAAGTTGGAATTAGAAATACCATTTGACCCAGCCATTCCATTACTAGGTATATATCCTAAAGAAGTGAGAGCCAAGACAAGAACAGACATATGCACACCCATGTTCATCGCAGCACTATTTACAATAACCAAAAGATGGAAACAACCTAGGTGTCCATCAACTGAGGAATGTACAACAAAAGTATGGTACATACACACAATGGAATACTATGCAACCCTAAAGAATAACCTAGAATCTGCAAAACAACGCACAACATGGATGAACTTGGAGGACATTATGCTGAGTGAAATAAGCCAATCACAGAAGGACAAATATTGTATTAGTCTGTTATTGTAAAAGTCAAGGAAAGGTTTATATATGGAAGGAAGTTTTCTTTGTTGGTTACCGGGGGGTGGGGAGGGAACACTATTAGGCAGAGATTAAGTACTGATTTGGGTGAAGAAAGAAGGGCAATATATCAATGTGAGTGATCAACATGGTAGCACTGAGGAAGAGGAAGACAGAGAGAGGTACATGGGAGGTGCAGACAACAAAGATGAACCCTTTTGCACACATAGTACTGTGCTGTCAGTGAAGGCAAACATGGGTATATGGGTGGATAGATGGGTGGACAGGATAACTATTAGTATGTCTATGCAGCAGGGAGTGTACCCAAGACCATGTATAGGGTGGGATGGCAGACAATGGTTCTACAAGTGTATTTGTATGTTCTGTAAGAATTCCCAGGTGTATAGTACAGCTGACAAGGGACAAGGTTGTAGTCACTTCTTGGTCACAGCAAGCTACTCAGAAGAAGCAAGTAGTTGAACCTGTGGGCTCAGGACCATAGTTGCAGGGGACATCAACTTCAATTGGCATAACATACCACACAAAACATTGTTCTACCTCCTACTTTGGCGATTAATGACTAGGATCTTAAAAGCTTGAGTAGCCATCTAGATGCAACGATGGGTCTCTCTCTTCGTCCACAGCAAAGAAGAATAAAGAAAATCAAAGACTCATGGAAACAATCAGTCCAAGCGATGGGTACACCATGCAATCTGCAGCCTGTATGACTATGAGACCAGACTAGATAGTGCCCGGCTACCACTGTCAACCACTCGGAGGGGGATCTACGGAGGAGATCCTGGATAGAACGGGAGAACAATGTGGAACAAAACTCAAAATCATTTGGAAAAAAAAAAGAGGACCAGGTTTGCTGGTCTGATAGAGCCTGATGGAACCCCTGAGACTATGGTCCCTAGCTGCCCTTCAGGTCTGGAACTAAACCCACACCTGTGGCTTTCAGCCAAACAAAAGGCAGGCATAGGAGTTGAACATTTACCTGAGGTAGATACACTCCTTGGAGAGAACAATCATGGGAGAAAGAAGGGCTGTTTATGCATAGGGAGACAGCTCAGTGGGCAGGAGTGCATGGAGGGATGGACACAGGGAAGAGGTAACTATCAGGAGGAAGTGTGAGGGGAGCTGTTGCATTGTGGTAGATTGTAGTCAATGTCATGAGACAAAGTGTATATGAACTGCTGTATAGAAAGTGAATTTGCTCTGTAAACTTTCACCCAAATCATAATTTAAGAAAAAAAAAAAAAAAAAGAAAGATTATAGCCTAAGGAGCCCTATGGGACAGTTCTACTGTGTCCTATAGGGTTGCTGTGAGTCAGAATTGACTTGATGGTACACAAACAACATCACTCCATTTATATAAAATTTGTTAAGTTGCAAAACTAAACAAAGTAGGGATACAAATATAGGTGGTAAAACTGTAACAAAATGAAAGGAAATAATAACCACAAAACTTAGGACAGTAGTTACCTCTAAAGGATGAGGGTAGAGGATGGGATGGGGAAGAAGTATATAAAAGCTTCAAAAGTGATGATAATATCCTGCTTCTTACACAGGTTCTTATAAATGTACATTTGTTTTTTCTTTAGATCCTACATGTTTTTCTAAATAGGCTTTTGTATTTACCCAAATTATCTATATATTAAAAAAAAAAAAAAACCTCACTGCCTTCAGGCGGATCCAACCATGGCAATCCCTCCTTGGGTTTCCGTGGCGTTATCACTACAGAAGTAGATTGCCCAACCTTCCTTCCAATGAATGGTTGGTGTGTTTGAACCACTAGCCTTCTGGTCAGCAGTCAAATGCCTTAGGTACTATGTCACAAGAGTTCCCATTATCTATGTATGTTTGTGTAAATATTGTTTTTAATGAAACCATCATACTGAAAAGGGGAGGGAGAAGGGCTAGAGGCAAAAGCACACTAGTCTGGGGACAGTGGGAAGCTTATACATCACATTTTTACTCTACTTTTGTTTGTTTTTGTTTTTAGCTTGTGCACACATGAATTCTCCAGTTGTTACCTAAGTTCTGCAACCTATTTGCCCTCAATAAAAAGACACTTATTTTGTTCATTTTTAAAATAGGGTTCCCCTCTGTTCCCACTGGAAACTCAAATGTGTCTACAGGATGTTCTGTGTAGGAGGGAAATGATTATTTTAAAAGCTGGAGAACATCAAATAATCTTGAATAATGAGGCACTGGAGGAAAGAGAAAGCTGTTTAATCCACTAAAAAAGGGTCAGAGATTTTTCCATATAAATTTTCCATGGAATTCTCTGACACATCCACAGCTGCTGAAAGGCAGCCCTACCAGCAAGCACAGGGCTTTCAGAGTTGCTGTTTCATCCAGACAGTAAATTAACAAAGACAACAGCCATCAGAGGCTTTGGGAGGCTTCAATGAAGACCTTCTTCAAGGTCTCTTGTCCACATCAGAAGGACCTGTATTTCACTCTTACCCTAATTGTCCCAATAGTACCAGAAGTCTGTGGGCAATTCCCTGCCATTCTGCTAACAGCACAATGGGACAAAACCCTACTGTGCTTTAAAGCCAAACCAAACATCTGAGTTCATAACCGAGACCTTGGGTCTTAGTATGTTTTTCTGAGAAGTACCAAGTGAAGCCAAACCTGAAGGCAGGGCAACCAGTGCTCCTGTTCCTAATGCTCATTTGCAGAGAAGTCTTCCAGCAGCCTCTGAACCACCAGTGTCTTTTGTTGTCACCTGAGATGATCAAGAAGCCCTTCCAGACCTCTCAGGCACATCTCTCCAGATTTCCCTCAGTTCTTCTTGCTCAACTGGGATTCTCTGTAATAGAGCTTCTCTCTCATTATACCTCATGAGCCAGTTATATGCTAACTGATCCTCACAAAGCACCATGATATCCTTCAAGGTGGGGGTCCTGGCTCATTCACCTCATTCTCTACATCAGAGAATAGTAGATAGCACATTTTGTACAGAGAGTACTTGATAAATGTTTGCTGAACTGATTTCATGGACTCAAAGAAATTGGCAACTAGTGACAAACCCTATGGGAGTATGAACATTTAAATCTAGGGTTGTTCACCAGTGACCAAGAAAGCGGAATTAAGCCATGGATATCTGGAGGCTAAAAACGTTAAGCATGTTTCCATATTT